AGTTAAATTGTAGAGATCACCTGGAGTCCAGGGTGCATGCACGGTTACTATATTTTGTCCATCGGTGCCAATGCCTGGCATTTGTCTTAGGGGGTAAACATGTGCAGCTCGGGATCTAAGATTGATGGGAGATCTTTCTGTGCCTATTCCCATTCTTCTAAATACACCTGTGGTGGGTTGTGACCCAGGAGTAAATTGCCACACTGGTGATGATTGAGTGGCAGATATGGTGGATGAGTCTGGACTATTAAGCTCCATGGATGAATTTACCAAAGGAGCTTCAGCTAATGGGTTCGTTGCCTGGGCTGCAGCCTGATGTTGAACCGGTTGTTGCTGATGTGGGAGTCCCAGGACAGCAGGGTGCGAACAAAGGTCAAGGATATCCTCTGCTTGCTCCGTCCAGAATCAAAAGTGAATGTCTATTCACTTGCAAATCAGTTAAATCTTTGCAGGTTAGACTAACCTGCAAAGATTGAATCAATTCAGGATCCAGCTTTTTGAATGTCTGTCCCTAGCCTAAGAGAGTTTCATGACTTTTGTCTACCATTTGTAATAGTATATAATAATATACTATTATTATATTATACTATTAATATACTATTATTATATAAATAGTATATAATAGTATATAATAATAAGTATAATATGGGAAGATAGCACTTGGTGATGAATTGCTTTGAAAAGATGATAGGTTTGTTTGTTTTAACATTGGTATGTAACTAAGCATAGTTTGCAAAATAGATGAGGTTCCATGGTTTTGACTCCATTAATGTACCCTAAGGAAATTACTAAGTATTCTGTACTTAGTTGCGGAATGTACTCATGCTGAAAACCACTCATTTGCACAAGTCCAATCTACTACTGCAGAGTAAGTTTTAAATTATTTGTTGCATGGGTACATGCACACACACATATAACATGTGACCAGGTTTCTTCAAACTTTTCAGAAGTCTGCTTAGCCTTTGAAGTGAGTCTGGCCAAATCAGTTTGTTAGGAAAAGTTGAAATATACAAAAAAAAAAGCTTATTTTTGTTGTTTTTCAGACCAACCTAACTTCAGCGGGCCACAGATTTCATAAAAATCTATAGCAGAATACCTAGAATCATAGAAGTAGAACTGGGAAGGACCTCAAGAGGTCTTCTAGTCCAACCCCCCTGCCTGAAGCATATCATGCAGCGATATGAAGATAATACCTATTTATTACATTTGCTATAGGATGACTCAGGCCATTTTATCTATAAGAGAACTCATAGGGGAGTGCTGATTTAATTGTATTAAAATCCCTTGAAACAAATTCCAAATCTTAAATGTTACTTCCTTGTTAAAATGCTTTCTGAGATACTTTAGCAGATTCTCAAATGCTGCATTGAACCCATAAATAAGTATTGGTTTTAATTTCTTTTAATGGATGGAGTTGGATGCAGAATGCCTGATAACACAATTAGATGACACTAAATTGGGATTGTAATCTTCCGTGCTGTTGTGGAAACACACGCAGCATACTTTTGGGTCAGGTCAGCAGAAGCTTTTATTCAAAAGAAACTACAGCTGTAGGGGGGATTCCAAAGTGACATGGATTTCCCAAGCACTTGGAAGGGGTTCCCCCTCAAGAGCAAAATCAGGAGGCTTATATACTTTTTAACAGTCGCTTACAACTCACGTGATCATATAGTGAAATTAGCTAGAAAAGCAGCTATAAACATTACTTCATTACTTCTTTGCTGTTATCAGGATGAGAATTATGGAGGAGACAAGGGAGAAATATCACTCCCTGCCTGCACCTGGAAATCAGAGTTGTACATACTTTTTTGCTATCTTCAAGGCCGCGGTGAGCGAAGCAGTTGCAGAGGAGTTACAAAGAACAAACACTTTCCCTTACCTGTTCAACTGCACAGAGCCAGCAATTCCACACAAAGCGGTTATGTCGTCTTATAACTCAAATGATCAAAGTTTAAGGCATTTATTTTTTTCTGATTCCACATTAAGTACCTCTCCATCCACATCACTCCTCTCCCACAATACTGAGGGGACAAGGCAGATGCCAAGGAACTGACCTTCAACCTACATTTTGAACTTAGACCTCCAAAGGACCCAGAACTACTGTGCAAACTATTAGCTTTTATTTTGATTTTACTACCATTTAACCAGGGCAGTGTTTCTCGTGAGGACTCTTTCCATGTCAGTGGAGTGTGTATTTGCTTAAATTTTCTATTTGAAAAGTGTATATTCATTTTCTCTCTCTCGCTGTCTCGCTCTTTTCAAATGTGAAGTATTTACCCTTTAGGACCCCTTTAATTAAATTTCCATCAAACCCCTCTGTAGCCAAAGAACTAGGCCCAGACGGTGTAATCAATACTGTCCTTGTATCTCCCACTCTGTACTGCAAATCTGTAGTCCGCCACTGTGACAAGAACGTTCCCTGAGGCTGCTCGCTGAAGGGTTAATGAAAAACTACTTAACTCTGTTGGATTTATAACTCACACCACACGTGCAGTGTCTCACAAGTGTCTTTCATTTAGAGTTCAGAATCCCCTTTATTGTTTGATAATTGAAAACTGTATTTTTCAAGTCGGCTTCAAAAGACACACACAGCACCATGAGATGGATGATGGCCAAACAAATTCACTAGTCTGTGTGACTAGTGTGTGACAAGACAAGGGAAGTGAGTCCAATCTATGAAAGTAAAAAAAAAAAAAAAAAGTATTTTAAATCAGATTATTTCAAGAAATGTGCAAACCAAGTTATCAGTTGATAAATACACCTTGTAAAGAATCTAGTATTCAAATACTACCCATGCAGCTGCCATTCTGTATCCAAAGCTGAAGAATCATGAAGCTCACAGTGCCATTGTACCCAGAAGAGTGTCTACAAAAATGACAGGCAGGTTCTACGTTCTGTTTTATAGAGTTTCAGATCTACCCTCACCACTGTAGCATTTGGGTGCCTTCCAGTAGCGCCTTAAGCAATGTGATTAATCTTTTGCTTCTTCCTCTCATCCTCTTCCCCAGGGGACAATAGTGTGTGTTGTATAGCGTTTTGTTTTGGTAGGGTTTTAGTCTTTGAGGCTTTTATTTTCTCAACATTTTATAGTTATTCCTGCATAATGACCCCCAGATTCAACTTGCTCAATTTACAAAGCAACTGATAGCTTTTCTATAACTATAAGGCCTAGTCTGGAGCCTGAAAAATCCAGCTGCACCCCTACTGCCCCTTATGTTGTCTTAATAATAATTAAATCAAACCTTTGTTGGCAACTCATCAGGCAAAATGGAAACTAACTTACTCTCCCATAGCTGACTAGGTCGTGCGGCACTTGTAAACCTCTCAGCTTTGTACCACGAGTAAGTTTGGCATCTCTGAACACGCAGGGGAGCAATTCTATTGAGAGAGGAGGAATCATGTTTACAAAGGGCAAATGGAAAAATGTATATTAATTCAATTTTCAAATGTTCATATCCCATTTAAACACCCAAGTCTCACTGACTTTCAGAGGGCTTTCAGCTTTTTGAGTGACTTGGTTTATTGTCTTTGTGGGGAAGTTAGGATACAGTAATTTACAGGAAATAACTACTCCCCAGTGACATCTTCTGTTGGCGCTCTAAGCCGTACTAAATGCAAGGTAGCTTGCTCCAGTTTAGTATCCACTAGTAATGTCCACACAGGGAATTTGCACAGAGTGTATGCATCTACACAAGACGTTAAGAGTGCAGTAGACTAATTCTACTGTGCATTAGGACTTCACAGTGAAAACCATGCTAGTGTGCAGTAGATTAGTGTACTGAACATTAGTGTCACCTAAAAGATATGTGCCTGCACTATTGTGCTGTACTGCCAGTTACAGTGCATTAAGTTAGTACCTCTTATTACACGTACTAACCTTAATGCATCATAATTTCAGCACATTAATGCACATGTAGACGTGTCCAGTAAGTATTACCTGTAAATACTAGCTTACTATACACCAACCTTCCCAAGTGGACAAACCCTACATGATTAAAATCACTTGGGTGAAAGCCAGTGAAACTTATGTGCTGAAATGACATGGATTTTTTTTTTAAATGGACTCTGTGTACATGCTATCGATGCTTATGATTACATCGTTTGCATATCTGAGTAGATTGAATAACTGCATCAAAACACCCATTTGGAAGGGCAGTTGGCTAGTCTGTATAAGCTTACAAAGCAGCTGTATCCAGAAGAGTGACTCTGTAAACGTGACAGACAAGTTCTGTTACAGTCTATAGAGAGTAAATGCTATAGATGCAATTAATTTGAGTTAGTCTATTAAAAGATATCAGATTTACCCAAAGAAACTTGTCTGCTCATGGGTGCAATTAAAAATCTTTACGAACACCATTAATCCAAAATCTCCTTCTCAAATTCCCTTTAAAGAGGTCGTCGCTATTTCTTACAGCAAACTTCCAACACTAGAACTTAAAATGCTTCCACATGTGCCATGCATGATGAGCATCCCATACACATGCAGAGAAACACTTACATGAAGCTATGCTAAATTAGTTTACTTCCCCTTTGCAGAGAAGACAGCCTTGTGCTGTGAGTAAGTGACAGTCTGTCTTAGCCTAGCTAAACCTCAGTAACTGATTCACAGCCTCTTTTGCTGGTTTCTAGATTTTGCAGAGTTTGTTTTCCTGGGTCTGTTCCTTACTGAGATGTCCTTGAAGATGTACGGACTGGGGCCAAGAAATTATTTCCACTCCTCATTCAACTGCTTTGACTTTGGGGTAAGCTGACATCAGCTTCACAGGCTAACTGTGAGTGTAAACTTTCTTTATTGAACAATGGGTGATTGATGGTGATGGTGGGAGGGCAAAGGTGAATCAGTTACTATTCTTTGACTGCCTTTTGTAAATCAGGTACAGCAACAATCAATAAGAAAACTTACTAATCACAAAAGCATGTCTAAATAAACTTGCAGTAAGTATTTTCCTTTTAAGAAACCTGATAAGGAGAACTAGTTTCCTCTATAAATTGTGTAGTAGAAGGTCACAGGGATATTCTCATCAGCAGTATCAGTAAGTGCTCTGGTTACTGTGAGATACTCTCTCCATTTAAAATGGAGTTTTTCTTTTTAAAATAATATTTCCCTTTTTTCTGTTCCCTACCATGCAATCAGACACCTGCCATTTAAGATAGTTGGTGGTGATTTTCAATTTTGAGTTCTCAGTGTTAAACGCACAAACCCATAATCAGGCATCACTAATAAAAGTAGTAGGATTTGGGGGAGCTGCTGAGCATATGACAATGATTTAAAGACTGGTGCACTGCACCTGTAAAAATCAAGCCCTTGTTTCGGTGTCTAAATTATTTTGGATGGATTTTAATGCTTGTCTTTAACCACTACAATTTAAAAGTTTAGGAAATAAATACCCAATGATTGGGACAATTTGACTAGGGTTTTGAAATGATCATGTGGTATAGAAGGAGAGTCATGAATTTAGTCCCCCAGCAAAAAATTCATATTTATTTAACAAAATCTACAGCAGTCTACATTGCTTGCAACAGTTACTGAAGTTTTGGGGGCAATTACTGAAGAATACTTCATGTTCTTTATGATGTTGGGGAATAGTTAGTTAATCATCTATGAAAGCAGTTTTTATTGTTTACTCTTTATTTACAATTAAATGTAGGGCCTGATTTAGCACTGGCTGATCCTCACTGTATTTACACTAGTACAAAACTGTAGAAGTGCACTGACAAATCCAGCTCAGATTCCTCTCCCTCTGGTAATCTACTACTTCACCCCCGAAGCCAGTACAGGAAGATACAGTGATATCTGAATGAGTACATGGCTATGCAGGATGCAGTCATTGCTGTGCAACATGCCACAGTTGCTCAGAACTTATGATGACAGAGAGTATAACACTCCGATCCCTGTGTTTCAAAGCCAGAGGTCCTGTCCCCCTTCAGCTAAGGGGTAATCTTGGTTACATATGAACAGTATAAAATCCATGACCCATAGTTAAGCCATTTTGATTCCAGTAAAGACAAGTCTGTGCTGGCAACTTTTGCTTGTTAAGTTGGGCTAAACTGGCTTCACAGGGGTTCACACAACTTCCGTCATCTTTAATGAGAATTGTGTACCTAAATCCAAACCCAGGATCTGTCTGCAGTATTTCCTGTCTTGTACACTAACTCTGAAACTCAAGGTGCAATTGCCATTCTCTCCACAATCGTGGGCTAGGGACAGACATTACACATAAACCAGTTTAAGTGATCAGAAATTGGTTTAAACCTGTAATAGAACAGATGTTCAGGGCACATAAACCAGTTTGAAAAAGGCTGAAACTGGTTTGAGATAAACTGGTTTGACCCAAATCCATTAAGTCTGATACTACATTGAATGATTGAATGTAGTATCAGACTTAACAGATTTGGGTCAAATCAGTTTATGCGATGTCTTTCCCAGACCCCTCCTTAGTTTAAGCCAGGCTCCCCCAGCATGCTCTCTGGCCTGGGTGAGGCTCTCTGCTCTCTGGCTGGAGCTTTGGCAGAGACTGCAGGTGTCTGCCTGGCTTCCCCCTGCTTCTCCCCTCCCCTCACAAATCCTTGCTAAGCAGGGATCCCCCATCCCCTTTGCCTTACACAGACACCTCTCAGCATTAGCAGAGCACATGCTGGCGATGGTCTGTGCTGTGGGAGACCAGACAAAGGGAGACAGGACAGGCTTAGGGCTCTTTGGTGCTAATCAACACTCCTCCCCTAGCTGAACATTGTGGAAGGGAAGGGAGGGCTGCTCTAGCACCTCCTGGCCTCTAGCCTGAGCCACTGCAGGCATGTGCCTACCTTTTGTCAGTCCAGGGGTGGATGTCTGTACAGTTACAAACCGATTCAGTCTAGGCAGGTTAGACTAACCTGCAAAGGTTGAATCAATTCAGGCTCAGCCTTTTTGAATGTCCGTCTCTACCGTCTGTCCCCGATTAGGGTGGGAGGAGATGACCTAGGGCATCTAATTTCTTTTTGTCAATTCTCCTGGGTGATGGTCTTTAGATTTGTGCACACTGATAATGGTTCCCTTTCCCCATTGACCGACCACGCTATTTTTCCACTGCTTTCAGAATCTCAGAATTGTGCTTCTAGATCACATTTTGCTTTTGGCAAGTGCACCCCCTCCCTGTCCCCCAAATTCATCATCATAGCTGACATTACAACTTGGCATTCTTAGCAGGGAGACCAGGGATGTATTAGGTTAATGATTTGGTCCTAGAAGTTGTCTTTGTAGAACTAAATGAGGCATGGTCAGGGTCAGTCTGTGTGAAGCATCAGGTGTGTCATCACTCTCATGTGAAAAACTTTGCTCTGCAGGGGTTGTGATCCATTACCTTTCACTGCTTCTTCAAGGAAGAGGAAAATAAACCTTAGTCGAGCATAATATCTATTTTGGATTCTAGGTATCGTTCAGGATACACGGTGCTTAGGACTAGAGTTGCAGATACAGCTTCACAGTTTTGCAGCAGCAAACTGCAGCAGAAATGATTCTGGGTACAATATTGCATCTATAGTCACTAGCACACCTAATATAAAGGGTGCAATATTGCAGGATGCAGTCACTAGCACCCATAAGGTAAATATATCTGTGCCCTCCCTTTGGGGCATAATTCAGGAAGGTTATCTAAACTAAAGACACCAGGTCCTTGTAAGTATAACTCTGAATCTGTAAAATAGAAGACCTGACAAAAAACCTGGTCAAGGACACACATTGTGGCTGAGATTTTTCAAAGACAGCTAAAGAATATGACACCCAACTACCATTGAAAATAAATGGGAGTTAAACACCCAGCAACCTGACTCTTTTGGAAATCCTAGTTGGGGTGAGCTGTGCCAAGAAAATTAGTCAGATTTTTAAGACTTATAATTAGGCATTTAATTTCTTTGCTTCATTTTTGCCTTATATTCCATCCTAGTGAAAGGTGCTCTATTCACAAAAGAGGGACTGCACCATAAGGTCAGGTTCCCTCATGATATCTGCTAGATTCCCCTTCATGTATTTCATAAAACTCATTATTATTCACAATGCTGCATCCACAAGGAAGAGACCTTGTACCTGATCTTCAGGGACAGATGATTTAGGAATTTTATAATAAACACAGAACAAATCCACTGGGCCCATCTGCTTTCCTTCCTGCCTTACTCAGTGTAGCATTGGTAATAAGCTCTGCAGACTGTGAGTCCCCTAAGGGACAGGGGGCTGATCTTTTTCTAATTCTTCTTCTAAAGGAGAACCTACTGGGAGCCTATATCTAGCTGTGTGTCTTCCCCTCACCCACCTCCCCTCCCCAAATTAATTCAGTTTCTTCAGCCTCTTTGGAACAACACACAATTCTCTAGTTTGACAAACCATTGGGATGAAACAGTTCAAATGCAAAACAGAAAAGCAACAAAACAGAAAGACATCGGCCTCGTGAGGAATAGCCCCTGAGGGTCTTTTGTGGAATTATTCCCAAGCGGTCGTTTTAATATGGCACACAAATTAACTATGAGTTTGAAACTCAGATCTGAGGGAAGTTATTTACTGATACAAAATGGATCCCTGAGACTGGTACATTATAAAGGAGCGGAGAGTTTCTTAAATCCTTTGATTAATTCTAATGGTAGCAAGTGGATGAGTGATTGGGTTTCTACAAGAGGCAGACAAGGTTCCTTGGGTTTATACAATGCCCTTTTGTTTGCAAAACTTCTTGAACCAAGGAATTATTGGGTGGCATTTCCCTTTCCCTTCACCTAAACCAGTTTTAGCTTATCAGCTGAGTTTTGCTGAAAGGGAGCTGGGATTTTGTATCCAAATGGAGTGTCCAGACTGTTGACAATCTCATACCATTGCTCAGAATGTAGTACAGGTTTTTTGTCTGTTCATTATGGTTTTCCATAAAACTCCATGGATTTTTTATAACAACCCTCCCCTTTCCCCCCCCAAAAAGAGAAAATGCTAAGAAATGTCCATATTATTTTACCATCTAAGCAGTGACCAAATTACTTTTACCGGATTTACTTGAATATAAGATGACCCCCAATAATTAGCTTCTATATAAGGAAAATTTATAAATTTGTTATAATTTTTCAGGTGTAGAATCTAATTATTGGGGGTTTGCCTTGGATTACTCCCCCTCCAACTGCTACAGCACAGAAAATAAATCGGGGCGGGGGGTAGCTCACTTATCCTCTGCACCACACCCTACAGTCCCTTCCCCCTTCCTCAATGTGACACCCTGCTCTCCCTAGGCACATGGAAGTGAGGTCCAAATTTGAAAACACTGACCTTGAAATAAACAGACTTGTAGTAATTCATATATAAATAAATGATTACAGATACGCATAGACTTGGTTCATCTGGAACTCTTGCATTTTAACTTGCTGGAAACTGCTGCAAATTTTAGTACAGGTACTCCATAAACACACTTTTAAGCAGCACTTTTTTACTAACTTAGATGCAGCACAAAATATACATTTTTAAAATGTTGTTTTCAAGGCCAAATCAGTTCTGAATTAAGTGCATTCCTTTACTGGCCTCTCAGCCTTCTAGAGCCTGCATAGTATGAGTTGTTATGACAGCCTCTGCTGAGCTGCTAGTCTGATCCGGGTGGGCTGCAGCTGAAATGGGGAGAGTCTTGGCTCTGAGCTTTTAATACGGTGGCCAGTGCACTAGAGCTGGATATTAGTGCTCCTGGAACAGTGTAGCTATGGATTTTGCACCCTTTCAGGCTGGATTGTAAAATTACAAAGCTAAAGCTATTGTCTCTGAGAGTTTAGGGTTTTTCTTGCTAGTTCCTTGGGTATGCAAATTATATTGGCAGTCCCCATTAGAATCCCATCAAACTTCACAATCTATCCCTCTTTCAGTCCCCAGTCCCTGGGGAACCAACGCCATGGCTGGTTGAGCAACTGTTTTTCCTTCTTAAAATGGATTATTCTTGCAGGTGATTGTGGGGAGTATTTTTGAAGTTATCTGGGCTGCAGTGAAGCCTGGTACCTCATTTGGCATCAGTGTATTGAGGGCTCTTCGACTGCTGAGGATTTTCAAAGTAACCAAGTAAGTGTGGGATTCCATTTACTCCCTTTGGATATTTAACGCAGTGTGAATATTCACATCATTACCTTATAAGCAGCAGTGTTCCCTGCTGGCCTTGCATACTTATAGAGTCATTCAGAATATTGGTCACTGCTGCTGTCCCAGGCTGCCTTGTTGCCAAACTGGAACAAAAGCAGCATGTCTGATGCAAGTCTTAACACTATCTGTGGCTAGCATACTAGGCCATCAGTGCTACAGCTGTGCAGGCCATGCTGACTAAGATACCCTGCTACTGTAGGATAAGATTAGGTTGCATTGATGCCATAGCAAGGACACTTGCGTTGCCTGTGCCTCATAGGAATGTCCTGAGGTCCATAGTTTCCAAGTAAAACTTGGTGGCCAAAGCTTTTCACTTGTTCTTTCTTGTGTGTCCAATTAATGTGCATTGGAATGAACCACACACCTCTTGGGGAATGTATTAATCTATTTAGAGCAACATGTGCAGGCTGTTAAAATTGTTACTATAAAATTAATTGTTATAGTTACTTCAAATATTTGGGTGGTCATGCTGGTTTGGTTTTTTTCATCAAATGAATTTACACATCCCTTTCTTCTTTTTAATTATCTATTTGTTTTAGCAGGAGGAGAACAAAGGCATTTACAAAGGGAAATCTAGTTTTTTTAACTTGGTCAGATTCTGAACTTGGATGCTTAAACTAGCCAACTGGCACATATAAAATTACCACTGACGTACCCATATACTTCTCTGGCCATTCATGTGCACAGTTCTGATATCCTTTAGGCCAGGGGTGGGCAAAATGTGGCCCAGGGGCTGGATGCAGCCCGCCAGGCCATTCTATCCAGCCCCTGGGGCCCCTAAAAATGTAGAAAATTAATATTTATCTGCCCTGAGATATCTGTCAAGCAGCCCTCGATGACTTGCCAAAACTCAGTACGCAGCCCTCTGCCCAAAATAATTGCCCGCCCCTGCTTTAGGCCCTGTAGGATTAGCTGAATTAACATATATTGGTCACTTTGTGGAAACAGTTTTAAAATAAAAGTGTCTGATGAACTCCAAAATTTCATACATTGTCAGATGATCAAGAGATCAGGAAAAAAAAAATTAAATTATAAGCAGACATGTCCAGAAGGTACCAAAACTTGTCTCATAGAAAGTGCTTAGTCAAACCAAATTTCTGATAGCCTGTAGGTGAATGATTCCACCTGTCTTAATAATTTTGTAGCAATTAATTACCAGCAGTGAAGTTAGCCCAAGCCCACAAGAGCTTATAAACTTTTTTGGACTCCATGTAGTGCTTTCTTTTAAGAGTTTTAAATCTATTTATAAGTTAAGATGATATTTCTACTATCTTTCACCAGCTTTGAACAATTGAATATTTCAGCTAAAGGTGTGATTTTACACAGCAGAGAGAAGAATCATTTCATATATTGTCAGTAGAATCATTTTACATATTACCAGAAAGTCAGATACCCTGCTGTCTTGCAGCATACTGGCTGAAATCAATGTCAAAAATCCCACTAGCTTAACTGAAGCTAGGATCTCACTCAGTATCTTAAAAATTCCTGCCTAGGAGCATGGACCTGTCACTGTGTAGGTACTGGACCTCTTGGATTGGTTGACGTTTCGGGTGCACAGTCTGGTGTCTGACTGGCCATGCTGATGAGGAGGCACTTCCCAGGTCCAGCACAGCTGGCTACAGGATAGTTTAAAAAGTTAAAAGAGAAAGAGATACAAAGACTGCATTACTTCTGTCCAGTTCTCATTACAGTTTCTCCAATGAAAGCAACTTCACCCTGTGCAAATTCTTTCCTTTTTCTCTAGCTTTGACTGCAGACTTTCTCTGATGCATCCCACCCTTGGATTTTTGCCTCTCATTTGTTCAGCAGAAGGCAAAGGCATGCCACCCTGCTTTGAATAATTGGGGGTATTAAGCCTTTTGATTCAGAGGCCTATTCCTCCGCTTAGCACAAGCAAGGAAGATTGCAAAAGGCAGAGCAACATGATGGTTAGAAAGTTAAATTACAGCAGGCTGAAAAGGTCACAGCAGGATGGCACATCACTACAATGAGTGGGAATACAGCCGAAGAGGCATTGAAATTCAGAGAGAGGAAGATGAAAAAATAGCTCAACATAATTTCCTCCTTGTCATGACAGAACTGTAATGGTAACTGGCAACTGTAGAAATTTAACTCCTAGTTAGAGCCTGGGGGTCTATAATCAACCATGGAGGGGTGCTGAAATAATTGATGTGTACTGAGGTGTTTCAGGATAATCTGGCACCTGTCCTATGTATTTGGTATCCAGTGAGGTTAACTGAGATATAGCAGCTTGGGCATTGACCGAGATTTGCTTGGTTCATGTTGGTGCAAAGAAGCTGTGGAAAGTCCCATGGAGTACTTCCTGGACCACCTCTCTCCCTCATGTAAAACCAGTTCATCCCTTTTTACTATCAAAACCTGGCCAGGCTCAGTTTAAGCTGCTTGAGTTGTAGAGGCTCTGAGTCTATGAAGTTCTCCCAAAAACCCATGCTGCTGTCTGTGTGGGACAACCCACTTCTTGGGGACACAGTGGGGATGGATGAAGCACAGATGCAGGTTCCTGTTGTGTGGACAGTTAATAGTGTGAATACTCAGCTCTATTTATGTTCACTTCTGTTCACCTTTGGCACTTTTGAGACTCGCACTGGTGCAACTCTCAGAGCCACTTGATGGGGCAGAAGGTAGTATTCTAGGAAAAGAGTGGGAAACCTGAAACTGAGAAAAGACATGGAAGAGCACGTGAAACAGAGTCATTATGAGCATTTATGGAAGCCAAATTCCCCTGAGAAAGCTGCTCACAGGTGCTGAAGAAGGGGAGATGAATCTATGGGCACTGTTTATCCTCACATACAAGCAGCTGCTCTGCAGTGAGGGCTTCAGATCCCAAGTCTACCCCAAACCCCAGCTGAAGGAGGTGCAGGACAGAATTGCTGGGCAGGTTGCCATAGATACTGGGCTCCATATGGTTGCTTTCAGGTCTAGATTAGGGAGGTGACAGAAGTAATTGGACAAAAAGAGTTGGGAGAGAGAGAGATCTGGAAAAAAAAATCCTGCCTAGGATCCTCTACTGATCAGAAAGCCTTTCACAGTCAGCATATAAAATGGCTCTAAATGACCATTTTGCATTTTCTGCTCTAACCGTGTTGTTTCTCAAGCCTGTCTGTCTAACAGGAGATTGTTAAAAAGAACTTGTGCTTTAATAGCTCTTTCTGAATTTTCTGATTCATTAGTTTTCCTAATATAAATGCTCCCTGCTTCTTCTCAGCAGGGCAATAAAACAAAGAGAAAGTGCCACTTCTGAGCACCCTCTCAGGACCTCCATTATTTAATGTGCCTCTCCGCTCTGTGTGTGTGTGTGCATGCACGTGTATGCTCAGAGTTGTAAGGGATGGGAGCAGTGTTGGAGGGCTCAGCGGGGTAAGAACAGATTGAGCAGCAGTTTCTGGTCAGGTGGAACTTTACATGTGCAGGTCAGGTCTCAATCTAGGTAGTTTTCCTTCCTCCCCTTTGGCTTCTTGTCTAGACTGCACAGTTATGATGCAGTGAAGTTAATGCTCAGTCATGGGGTGCCTAAATAGAATGGGCAATCCCCCATAAATGAACATGCCATATGTGTAAATGCCTACTTCCAAAACCAGTTTAAGTGCTCTAATGTGGGATTTTGAGGCCTGTGACAATTGGGCTCAGTTCATTAAACAAACGAATGCAAGTTCATGTTTAAACTGTGTACAAAAGGACCTAATGGCTGGCTGACTGGCTGGGGGTTCAGGCTCTTATGGGAATGAGCCATTCAATCCTGGCTTGTGTCAGAGAAATGGATTGTTTGCAGTCACCTGATTCATTCTCACCTTCACATCATAGACAAAACCCTTGTTCATGATATGCCTAGAAGTTGAAATGCATAGTACAGGACATGACAATACATGGAGGTATATGTTATATAGAACAAATTAAGGGAGGTAACCTCCAAAAACTCTGTTTTAGAGGATTTAAAGCAAGATTGGACAAAGTGCTGGGGAATTTTCTGTTCGTCGCAGTTCTCCAGTGGACGGCATACACTCGAGGTGACCAGTTAGGTGTTTTCAGTCACTGGCTTCTTGGATTCTATACATGATTATGTTGTGGCATAGAATCAAATGGGCTGTAGTATGCCATTTGCTGGCATCATACCAGTTGGAGAGTTTGATCCAGATGAGTTTAAGGCTTTCTAATTTAGACTGTCTCCCACTGCAAATCCATCATCACTGTTCATCACTTCTTTGTATAGGGGATAAATTACCTTAATCTTTCCAGGGGAAGATGCCTCACTCAGTAACATCATTTGTTTTTTGCTTTGATTTACAATGTAGATATTGGAACTCCCTGAGAAACCTGGTGGTGTCCTTGCTGAACTCCATGAAATCCATCATCAGTTTGCTCTTCCTGCTCTTCCTGTTCATCGTGGTGTTTGCTTTGCTAGGGATGCAGCTCTTTGGAGGACAGTAAGTTAAGCAATTACTCCTTTAACAATCATTGAATAGCATACCTAATGGTAAAGCACTGGCCCTTGGCAAAAGGCCCAGGAGGGACAAAATGGCTCTGAGTATTTGTAATGGGATACAGAATCTTTTGAATCTAGATTGATTTTGTCTGTTCTCTGCCCTACAAGAAATGAGTTGCCAGTTTCGGTTTCCTAAATGAACAGCAGTGCAGGCAGAAGTTTATTGAAGATGCTACATTTTGAAACATCTTCATCTGAACCCTCATGCGATAAGGGTTCAGATTTTTGCAGAATTGGGCCCTTTTTAAAGAGCTTTGTAGCCATGCACTTCTGTTTGGTCATGGCTGTAGAGTTCTTTCAGTGGCCAGATCAAGAGAAAACTGTCACTTCTGTCTGCGCCCCAAGTGTTCACAGTACAAAAGGAACCACCAGAATGGGTCAAGATAGGTGAACTACTCACTGATAAGTTCTCCTTTATGAAGTAAATGTTTAGGCTGAATAATAAAATGGTGTGGGAAAACTTGCATTGCTGCTGACAGGGTTGTATGTAGTTTATGGATAGATGGAGGACTTCACACACTCAAGGGCTGTTGACCTAGCATCTTGAAATAGGAATGCATTCCTTTTCCCTTTCCTTTTTTTTTTTTAAGAAAAAAGAAAGTATAATGAGCATTAGGTTAACTTTACCAGGTAATTGCATTTGGGTCTTATGCAATGTAGACCTCCTGGATAGTGCACTGGATTGGAACTTGGGAGATCTGGGTTCTTGCCCAGATTTTACCAGTGACTTCCAGGCTGACCTTGAGCAAATCACTTTGCCTCTCTGTATCCACCTGTAAAATGGAATTAAGGCTACTTAACTCTCTTTTAAGAGGCTTTTGAATAGAAACTTCTATAGTATTAATCTTGTTTCTGGGTACCACAGTCCAGTAAGTATTGTGGCATTGTTCCATAATCTGGAGGCAAGGACATAGTAGCAACTTCTCCTCTGAGGAGCAAGAGAATTTTTTCAGTGATGACTAAAGCTAAATCATTTTTCTCATGTGGAATTTTTGCATGCTGAAAAATAGGGTTTTCTCAAACCTGAATTTTTTAATTGGGAAAATATAATTTTTTATGAAAAAATTCCGTTTTCGGTGAAGAAATGTAAAAAAAAAAAAAAAATCAGTTTCAAACAGAATTTTTGAAGCTAAGGACACATCTTATTCCATTTCAATGTAAACTATCATTTAATGAACCCCTCCCCCCCTAAAATAACAGTTATGTTGAAATGTTGGTTCAGAACTTTATCTGGAATTTTGACATTTAACATTTGAAACTTTCTGGCCTTTTTTGTGCCACGAATTTTACAGTATTTTCCCATTTTCATTTGAAATGGAAACTAATTTCAAAAGGCCAACACTTCTGTGGCACAAACACATCTGTTCATTCAAGAGCTGTACTAAATATATAGCAAGTGGAATATTAACATCCTTTTGAATCTGACTACATTATTACTGCCATGTAAAACAAATATTGTCTCTTACTAAGGGTTTAAAATATTATGAGAGCATAAAAATGTATTACCTTATTTTGTGCTACTCCTTAGGTTTAATTTTCAAGATGAAACACCTACCACAAACTTTGATACTTTTCCTGCTGCCATCCTCACTGTGTTTCAGGTAAAGCTGCCTCTTTTATTGTGTATGCACTTGAAGGACACCTTCCTGAAATCTTTGTCTGTTCCATTAAAACAGAGGTGTCTCATTAAGGTATTTGGAATAGGAAGGTGGGAACTAAGTTTTGTTTGCCCATAGTCTGCTGTTCCTTAGAGAAGAATATCCATCTGTTGGATAATATATTGTTACCAGTAAAATTACCCATTAATCTAATGTTGAGGAATTTAGAATGTGGGTATCAAGAATTCTTTTACTGTAAAAATCTGTGTAAACCAGCAACTCTATTGAACGTTCAAAGGACTATTTAAGGCCTTTTGGCATTCTTCTCACGGCCACTATGCCGTAGTAACACGGGTCGCTTGTGACACCCTGCCCTGCATCTATTTATTGTAGCACAAAGGATCAACTGAACATGAAAGACCTACTTCCGCTTCCTCTGGCATTTACTGACATTTAATGAAGAAAGTAACCTAAGTTTGGCCCAAGGCAATGAAGAAATAATGTATCATTTTGCACTATAATGTTTGCAGGATAAGAGAGTGCCACATAAGAATTAAAATCAATGTGGGGGCAAGGAAAGAGTCATCAGCTGTAGGCAACACAATGTGATGGTACGAGAGAACAGCAGTCCTGGGAAATTTGTAACTTAGATTTTAAAGGCCTGATTCTGCCACTCATTGACAGCACTGCATCACTATAACAAGCACTACCCGAGCCTAGCTTTAGAGCCTGATCCCAGCACATTTTCTGTTCTTTCATACAAGGCAGTGAGCCAACCTACTGGCCAGTGTATCAGCGATACTCCAGTCAGCATTGGTCAGTTGATCCCTTTTTCCAGTAATGCATTTATCATTCAAGCAGATCAACAACAATTAAAACAAGTAGATTCATCCTGCCCCTGGCACCCTTCAAAGGCTTTTATCTTGGGAAGTGACTGATGATAACTTCCATCAGATCTTACCTGATG